CAAGCCCTTGCGTTAGAAATCCTGTCAATCCTAAAGCATGCCAACCTCCACTAATCAAGAGTAGACTCGTCCAAGTCTTGTCACTACTACCGAAATAAGGGACACTTAACCGAATAATGTACGACCCTCAAGGATAAAATTGAAGATCTAAAAAACACAAGGTCAGTTACGAGACTTTGTCGTTCAACCACCTTCAAACTGAGAACGAGATATTGATCGTCCTTAAATCCGCAATCAAGATGATCATAGAAGAACTAACACTCAAACCCACAGGGAGCATAGCCAATCAAGAGAAAGAAAAATAGACAAGTCTCATAATCAGTCGAGACATGTCATTAACATAATAATAGGTGGGTTCACTGAAGGAGGCTCCACCTTATTGGCTCAAAAGCGACACTTGAGAGCCGTCCACACAGTACATGTAGTTGAAACCCGAGTCGTTCAAAGAATGTCGCCAACAACATTCATGGACAATAACTTCAAGGGAATAGACCTAGTGTAAAATGACCCATGATCATTAGTATCGAGATCCCCAATTATATTGTTCGAAAGACTTTGTTTGACCAAAGGAGTTCGACTGATATTCTTTACTAAAAAACTTTCGGACAGCTAAGTATATCCAAAACAGAGTTGATGCCATACGACAAAACCCTAGTTGGTTTCTCGGGCAAACGAGTGAACACTTGTGGGTGCATTACCCTATTCACTTTCTTTTGTTTTGATGAGAGGGAACATAGAGATGTGAAGGTGAAGTATGTGGTGATACGTGCACATACACATTGTACAATATACTTCTTAAGGCAATCGTACTAACAACAACTTGACAATGAAATTCCCTTCGAATTTGTGCATTTACCCATCTTTACTATAATGAAAGTCCGCCACAGTAAGTGTCCTCTCAATTTAATGTCAACGGTTACTGTTTCATACCATCAAAACAAAATTGCTAAATGTTGTTTTCAAAAGACAAAGTCAATTTTTCTTTCCATTCAATTAAATAAATATCATCATTCAGCTTCCCTTTTGTTTGTTTTTTTTATCCTCTCGTCAAAGTGAGAAAGTTTCCGTGCTTTGCTCATCAAAATACGTTTTTTATGATTATTATTTTTTTAATGTTTTTTCTATCAGCTTGCATGGCAGAATTTTTTACACATATTATTCTTTTAAAAAAGAATTACCCAACTGGACCTCCACCATTTATTTACCTAAATATAACATTTTACTGTGTAGGTTCATTCGATTCTTGACAAGTCGAATTCTGACCTGCATGCTAATATGCCCGACGTGTTTCAGCTGCCGGAATTCGATTTTCGAGAAGTTGAATTTCAAACAGCTTTTCTTATTTTTATTTTTTAAAAAACGTTAAAATAAAATTCATTAATTATATAATTAAAATTAAATTTTATAGTATTATAATAAAATTAAATTTGTATATAAAATAAATATTATGTTTATATATTTATTTAAATATTTAAGTTTGTGTTAATAATTTTTAATATTAATATGATTAAACTTTTTAGAATAAAAATATTATTTAAATAAATAAGGTAATTATTATAAAATATTAATGTTTATTAAGTATTATAGTTAATTATTTATTAAATAAAATAAGTTAATTAATAATAAATATTAATGTATTAATATTAATAAAATTATTTAATAAAAAAAGGTTATTCCTAACATTAATTTAGAAATGATACATTGAAAAAAATAAGTTGTAGACTACAGTGCCCTATTTATAGGCATACTGGCGCAACCGGAACGGCCCGTACTAGTTTCGGAATGGCCCGTTCCGGAACCTTCAAATGTGTGGAAATTTTTCAACTGGAACGGCCCGTTCCAGAATTGGAACGGCCCGTTCTAGAATTGGAACGGCCCGTTCCAGAATTGGAACGACCCGTTTCAGAATTGGAACGGCCCGTTCCCAAAAAGCAGAACGGTCCGTTTTGAAACCAGAATGACCCATTCCAAAACCCAGCAGAACGGCCCGTTCTACTTTCAGAACGACCCGTTCTCCCTTCCAGAACGATCTGTTCCAGGCCCGTTCTGGGACAACCAATTTTTCCTAATTTCCTTACTTGGAACGGTCCGTTCCGGTACCCAAAAATACCCCAAAACTTTAACAAAATTACAAAAATGTCATAAAATAATAAAAAAAATATTGGGTGTTACACTTCCTACCTCACAATTCAATTTGCTACCAATCAGCCTCATCAACTGACCTCCCTTACATTAGTGAGTATCCAACAAGAGAAAAGAGAATCCCTTCGTGCCTTTATGGATTGTTTCAATAAGGTAGCTTTGGAAATCAAAGATCTTAATCTAGCTGTGGCCTTACACCACTTCACAACGGTGTTGAGGCCAAGACCTTTCATCAACAGCCTTTGTAAAAAGCCATTGCATCACATGGATGATCTTAGACACCACGCCAACAAATATATGCAAATGTAAGAGTTATCTGACTTTCATAACCAAGCTCAAGTCGACACATCCCCAATAAAGGCTGATAAGTCGATTGAAAACTCCTTCAAAAATCAAGGAAAGGAATAGTTACTACAAGATCGGCCTGCTAGGGGACCGAGATACTCCCAATATATGCCTCGCAATACGAGTTGTTCAAAGATACTAGAACAAGCCCTTGCGTTAGAAATCCTGTCAATCCTAAAGCATGCCAACCTCCACTAATCAAGAGTAGACTCGTCCAAGTCTTGTCACTACTACCGAAATAAGGGACACTTAACCGAATAATGTACGACCCTCAAGGATAAAATTGAAGATCTAAAAAACACAAGGTCAGTTACGAGACTTTGTCGTTCAACCACCTTCAAACTGAGAACGAGATATTGATCGTCCTTAAATCCGCAATCAAGATGATCATAGAAGAACTAACACTCAAACCCACAGGGAGCATAGCCAATCAAGAGAAAGAAAAATAGACAAGTCTCATAATCAGTCGAGACATGTCATTAACATAATAATAGGTGGGTTCACTGAAGGAGGCTCCACCTTATTGGCTCAAAAGCGACACTTGAGAGCCGTCCACACAGTACATGTAGTTGAAACCCGAGTCGTTCAAAGAATGTCGCCAACAACATTCATGGACAATAACTTCAAGGGAATAGACCTAGTGTAAAATGACCCATGATCATTAGTATCGAGATCCCCAATTATATTGTTCGAAAGACTTTGTTTGACCAAAGGAGTTCGACTGATATTCTTTACTAAAAAACTTTCGGACAGCTAAGTATATCCAAAACAGAGTTGATGCCATACGACAAAACCCTAGTTGGTTTCTCGGGCAAACGAGTGAACACTTGTGGGTGCATTACCCTATTCACTTTCTTTTGTTTTGATGAGAGGGAACATAGAGATGTGAAGGTGAAGTATGTGGTGATACGTGCACATACACATTGTACAATATACTTCTTAAGGCAATCGTACTAACAACAACTTGACAATGAAATTCCCTTCGAATTTGTGCATTTACCCATCTTTACTATAATGAAAGTCCGCCACAGTAAGTGTCCTCTCAATTTAATGTCAACGGTTACTGTTTCATACCATCAAAACAAAATTGCTAAATGTTGTTTTCAAAAGACAAAGTCAATTTTTCTTTCCATTCAATTAAATAAATATCATCATTCAGCTTCCCTTTTGTTTGTTTTTTTTATCCTCTCGTCAAAGTGAGAAAGTTTCCGTGCTTTGCTCATCAAAATACGTTTTTTATGATTATTATTTTTTTAATGTTTTTTCTATCAGCTTGCATGGCAGAATTTTTTACACATATTATTCTTTTAAAAAAGAATTACCCAACTGGACCTCCACCATTTATTTACCTAAATATAACATTTTACTGTGTAGGTTCATTCGATTCTTGACAAGTCGAATTCTGACCTGCATGCTAATATGCCCGACGTGTTTCAGCTGCCGGAATTCGATTTTCGAGAAGTTGAATTTCAAACAGCTTTTCTTATTTTTATTTTTTAAAAAACGTTAAAATAAAATTCATTAATTATATAATTAAAATTAAATTTTATAGTATTATAATAAAATTAAATTTGTATATAAAATAAATATTATGTTTATATATTTATTTAAATATTTAAGTTTGTGTTAATAATTTTTAATATTAATATGATTAAACTTTTTAGAATAAAAATATTATTTAAATAAATAAGGTAATTATTATAAAATATTAATGTTTATTAAGTATTATAGTTAATTATTTATTAAATAAAATAAGTTAATTAATAATAAATATTAATGTATTAATATTAATAAAATTATTTAATAAAAAAAGGTTATTCCTAACATTAATTTAGAAATGATACATTGAAAAAAATAAGTTGTAGACTACATAAATCAATGACAATCATGAACAATGTTTGAACATCTTTTTCTTGTGTAATTAGAGGTGTGACAATAAAAACAATATTTTATACGACTTTGTTATTCTCTAATATCTGTTCTTATTATGCTTAACATGGATCGACCTTTAGAAGTTTTTTTCAAATCCGAATTTAGACATAAAGTTGGACTAATGTAAGTTGGTTAATAGTCTTTGTGTCTCAATTTTCTAAATTGTCCTTCATATACCTCAGAGATTGTATTGAAATCTTATAGGTAGGAATCTGGTATGAAACATATGAATTATAAGTAAGCTGGCTGGAGCAATGGTGAACCAGTCCAAAAAAATAGTGAACCAGTCCAAAAAAATAGATGTTTTGAAAATTGTTTTCTAAATTAATTATGCACTAGTTAGACAGCAATCAATATCTCATTTAAGTTTCGGAAAATAATTTTGAAACCAAAAAACATAATCAATTAAGAGATATTTTGTCATTCTATAACTCTTTTTCTATTTTCTTGAAGTATTCTAATCAAGTCCTTCAGAAATAAACTTTAGTAAACAGAGACCAAGAGACAAACACTTTTAAATGTGTCAATGAAAAAACAAATATAAGAAAACACAAAACTGTTTTTGAAAACAATAACCCCACATGTATTTAAAAAAAATCATGTCTAACAATTCCCGATGATTCAGAGTTTCACAATTGGCGATTTCAAATAAAATCTTAATTTCTACAATGACACATAATGCAACAAAAATTACAATCGGAAATAATTTTACTTCCATGCATCATGGAGTAGATGCAAAGAAATTCTACTTCAATTGTTCTACCTATCTCTCAGTCTGCAACAAGTTAAAATTTTCTCCTAGTTTTGACATTCAGTTTTGATTTATGTCTGTGCTTCCTTCCTCAATGATATTGCTTTTGGTCTTACAATCCATGTTCCTTTCTGATTTAGCAGCAGATACATTAGCAGATACATTAGCAATTCAGATGTCTGTGCTTTCGCTGAACAGGTTCTTCTTAGTTTCCAAACCTCCTTCAACTTCATCAACTTTATGCAATTCAGATGTCATGGACTCAATTTTCATGTTTGCTTCAGTGTAGTAGTCCCTACTCTGATTAGTGAACTCCCTTGAAACTTCTGACATCAGGGTTCCAATTTCTCTCTCTCGGCCTTGACATTTTCCGAAAATGCTCCATCTAAACCAAAGTATAACATTGATGTAAGCAAAACTGAATTTAGCAAAAGGGCATAGAGGAAGAACAAAATACATTTTACCTTGCTCATTGGAGTAGTCAATAGTGTTTTCTGGTTCTTGTCGATCTGAATCACTATACACATAATTCAAAGGTTGTTGTTGTTGTATATCAGGTGCCTCACCAAGCAACACAAACTTTTTTCCCACGTCACTTGTATTATTGGAAGTATAAGGATTTGTGAACCGAACATTCTCCATTCTACTAAATCTCCGATTTACATAAACTCCGATCCATTTGATTACTCCTCCCAATCTACGTGAATATTTTTCAGGTGATGTCATCACAAACGAAACCTTCCCATGAATCCACTCATTCGTCTCAAGTGCTCTTCTAATATCGGAATTCATAGGATGGTGAAAATGATTTTGAAGATTGAACATAAATATATGGTCATTCTCAGAAATGCAAATTACATTATACCAACAGAAACAATTAACACACAAGTCAACATCATTGATTCTAGCAAAGAAATTCAAATTCACATAGAAAGGAGGCTTGATATTGCCCAAAACTCCAGAAACAAAACACACAGTGAGAGAGGGCAATTCATTACGAAACCAAAAGCAAAGAGAGTTTCCCTTGCTAGAGTGGTCAAACAATTCTGGGACTTGTTGACATGGTAGAATATAGTATAATATCGTAGTAGAACTAATTGCCTGTCAAAAATTTCAGAGTGAGATTTTGGAAAAAAATAAAAGTAAATGTAGAGAAAAATACAGAAGAGAGACCAACCCGTGTGAGTAACGTGTTTAAAATCGAACAATCAGCTTCCACTAGAGTGTTTTGTGCTGAGAAATCAGTTATGCTTGGTGGAAGACCTCTAATTTCTTGAAGCTGCTTGCAATCATAAACATGTAGAGCTTCCAAGAAGTGACACTCTTCAATGCACGCGGGAAGGATTGTCAAATTTGAGTCTTGTAAACATAATTGTGTCAAATTGGGAAAGATCTCATGCAACCTTTGAACGAAATTGGATGGATCATTACTTTCAAGCATTTTGCATCTTTGCAAGGATAAGATTCGAAGCCCTTCAAGATTTTGCATTGATCGTGGCAGATTTTTTATGGAAGTTCCTTCCAGCTCAACAAATTTTAATTTCTGCATTGGTGCCAATATTTCTGGAAACACAACAAGGCTACTACAGTCTCGAAGACAAAGATGCTCTAGAGATGTCAACTTTATACCACGTGGACCAATCATGAGCTTGGTACATCCTTCAGCACAAAACTTTTGAAGATTATGTAAAGACCCAAGAGAATCATGAATCTCAATCAAATTTTTGCATTCAGCAACACACAACTCTGTCAAATTTGGGAAGCCAGACATGTATGGTATTCGTCTTATGTTCTTACAACTTCTGAGAATCAAGTGTCTTAAAACCTTTGAATTCTGCAAATTAATAGTTATCTATTAATATATGATAGAATAGGACAGAATAATTATTCTATTATATTATAATCGGTTATTTGTGGTGCCAAACTGATATTATATCATATCATAACCTATCTTGTTAGTCCGTTATATATTTTATCCTAAGGTACTGGGTTAGGAATATACTGCAGAATATAAACTCTCATTCTTCCCTTCTCTATGTATTATGTCATATATTATTATTATTATTATTATTATTATTATTAT